CCTAGCATCTTCCTACGTTTAGATAAAACACGCGTGATGAAGGAAGCAGGTCACTAGGGATGCCTGGCACAGAAAGCGGGAGGGAGAGGTAGGAGAAGAAGCAAGTGCTGGCCCAGAGCCCCATCTCTTCTCCCTCAAGACTTTCTAGTCATCCCAAGGTGCCTCAGGGAGGAAGGCTCACTGGAGGAGAAGGTGGAGGAGTGAGGAAAAAGGGAGCCAGTCACTCAAGCAACAGCATTTATTAAGCACCTACATTAGCTGCCTTCCATCTACTAGAGCAGGGGGCCTTCACCTCTTGGCAGCCTGGGGAAGCCTATGGAAGCCTTCTCAGAAGATTTTTAAATGTATACAATAAAATGCATGGGATTCCAAGGCACTCCAATTATAGCGAAATCCAAAAGAAATTTTAAAAATAAAAACCAAGTTCCACAGATATCAGATTCAGAAGCACTGTAACAGAAGAAAGGGGGCTCTGAGTTCCTAACAGTCTTTGGTTTGGGTTGAACAATCCAGTTTCCAAGACAAGAAATAGGGACCCTGCATTTTCCTTCCTCCACTCTTTGATTTTTAAATTACTGTGTAACAGGGGTCCAACTGCATTCAACAACTCCTAACCACCTGCATTCAGTGTGGAGTGTTTTAGATAACCACAATCACACAAATAAAGGAGGGGCCCCCATTCTAGCGTACGTTCTATACATAGATCATGTGTGAATTTTAAATCAAATAGCAAAACCTTTAACTGAGACATAATAGGAAAAATCAAGCAGCAGAATCATTCTCATCACAGGGTGCTAGACTTGGATTAGGAAGACCTGAGTTCAAATCCCATCTCAGACACTTTACCTGCTGAATGACCCTGATCAAGTCACTTAACTTCTGTTTGCCTCAGTTTCCTCATCTGTAAAATGACAGGGTGGGACTCGTTAGCCCATAAGGTCCTTTCCAGCTCTAAATCTACATTGCTATGACCACAAGTCCATACCCAAAGGGGTGCAACTCCTCCTACAGGTTCCTGAGAGATTATGATTTCATCCTCCTTTAATCTCCTAGCATATGAGGAGAAGGAATAATCTTGAAATTTAACTACCCACTAGAGAAAGAATCTTAGGGTTCAATGTCCAAGGCTTTGGTCACAGCTCTGCCTAACTTTCTCCCTTTTTCCTCACTCCTCCTCCTCCTCCAGTGAGCCTTCCTTTCTGAGGCGCCTTGGGGTGACTAGAAAGTCTTGAGGGAGAAGAGATGGGGCTCTGGGCCAGCACTTGCTTCTTCTCCTACCTCTCCCTCCCTGCTTTCTGCGCCAGGCATAAAAAGAGCTGCTAAAACACTCTGGTAGCTCGAGGGTCGTTGGAATTCTTCCAGAATTCCTGGGTTCAAGTCTACTACAGCAATCTCAGCCCACATAGCCCCTATTCTTCCTCATTCTGACTGCAGAACCAACTTGTTCTCTTCATCTCTGCTCACCCTATTCCCAGCCCTGTGCACATTCCCTTATTAAACCTCCCACCTTTCAGAAGAGTCCCTATCAATCCAAGTTATCAGATCACAGATCTAGAACAGGAAGGCACCTCAGAGGACATCTAATTCAACCCCCTCATTTTCTAGATCAGGAAATTCATTTCAGGGACTTGCCCAATGTCATACATAATTAAATATCCTAGGTGGGGTTTGAACGCATGGCATCTGGGTTCATACTTCAGAGTCCTTACCTCAGTATGCAACCTCTCTGTGCTCAGGCACACACAGCTGCTGAGACATGGGGTCCAGGGAATTTCTTTCAATGAGCAAGGTCTCTGTGCCCCAAGAATCATGGAAAACGAAGTCCAAAGACTTCTCTCCTTGTTTCTGCTTGCTCTATCTCTCAATAATGTTAGGATCTGTCAGTGATCTGACTACGATCTATCTAGAATCTTTGCCGTGCGGGCATTTCCTCAGCCAACCTAGATTGAAACTTCCCTATGACTTTGTAGATTGTCTTCAAGAATTGTTGGGGCCGAAAAAGTCACCCCCCTTTGGGTGACCTGATGATGAGCCTTTCTAAACTTAGCTAGACTGGGTCTTGGTCCATTATGGGACCTATCAGCTTGGTATGACCCAACCGAGCTTGAGCTCTGCTGGCAAGTCCTTTGAGAACTCAGGGCCACCTCTATGCCATGATGAGACCACACACCCATATTCACTCACACACACTCACTCACTCGTATCCCTGCAGGTTCTTTCCCTCTAAGAAGTCCACCACTGAATCTCCATTATCCAGATTAAAAAATAACTTCAATGCCTTAGTTCCCAAGCCTGCTGTACCCCTTCCCCAATGCTTCTGAATTTCATGACCTCCTTAGTCACAATCAGTTCCTTAATCACTGATTCTTAGATTGTAAATCTGGACTTTAGGCAGGGGTGTGCTGCAGCTAGCTTGAACTTGATCGGAAGAATCTACTGTCAAATTTTTAATGTGAGCATTTACAGCTCTGTAATGGGCAGACTGCAAGTCAGAGCTTGATTTATTGCTTTGTTTATTGTCTCTAGACTTAGGAAAGTGATGGAGAAAATGTTAATCAAGATTAAACTTAAAAGTACGTTAAGGGTGTATGCATCTATGTATGCATGTGTGTGTATATATATGGGGGTATGTATATACATATATGTATGTGTGTATAGGTATATGCATACATATGCGTATTGTGTGTATATACATGTGTGTTGAGTGTTTATGCCTTATGTGCCTGTATATACCTGTGTGTTGTGTGTTTGTGCCTTATGTGTATAGATGTGTATATACCTATGCGTATAGATGCATGTGTGTATATCTGCATGTGTATATCTACACATCTACATATTGCATGTGTGTATTTGGTAAACTATTGTTAAACAGTGCCAGCTGCACACTGTTGACTCTAGACCAAGGTTAGCGACTTAGAACTTTGATCTCTAACATATCCATCCTGGCTCCATGGTTCCTGTCCCAAATGGACTCATCAAAGGCAGCCGAAGAGTTCTTGAATGAATTTGGAAAACAAAAGGAATTCTATCCAGGAATTCCTAGGAATTCTATCTCCTTGCATTTTTGCCCTGCCACTGCCCTTGACCTCCCAGCCCCCACCCTTCACCCTTATCCTCCAGGCCTTGGCTCCTTACTTTCTGCTCTCTGGCCCATAAGAACCGAGGTGAGGGGTCCTGTGGAAAAGACACAAGGGGTAAAGGTCAGGGAGTTGAGAGGTCACAGGAGGCTTAGGGCTTCCAGGGCCTGAGCAGTAAGGCCAAGACATGATTTTTCTCTTGGTTTCAGGTTCTCACAACCAGCACAGAAGAGGAATTGTGATAATATACATCAGTAAATCCTACATGTGCCAGAGTCTCTAGGCCTGGCTTCTACCTCCCCCAAATCCCTTCCTCCCACCCAGAGCCCTACCTTTTCTTTTCCTCTTCCCAGCCATCTTTTCTGTTCCTGCTTTCTCCCTTGCACTCCTCTCCTTACTGGGCCCCTTCTGCCCTCAGGCAGCACCAGCCTGTTCCTCCATCCCCCCTATGCTCTGGCAGCTCTCCCAGTCCCCAACTCTCCCAGTTTCTAATCATGTCTCCCTTTGTATTCATTTTGGGTGCCAGGTTCAGCAGCCCTAACAACACAGTCACTGAACTACCACAAAGAAATCAAAGTAAATAATGTGAAGGTGATTATTTCCCCAAATCACAGAATCTTAGACTAGGACAAGACCACGAAAGTCATCTCTTCCAATCTGTACATTTCCACTATGCCCTATGCCTTATCCCAGTGTTCCCAGTCAGGCTTTCAATTCAATTAATCAATAAGTATTCGGTGAATACCAGGTCACAGCCCCAGGCTAAGAACTCGAGAGAAGTCCCTATCTCCACGGAGCTCACAATCCAACTGGGAAATCACACTGACAGACTAAAAGTGATTCAAGAGCAATCAAAGACTGAAAAACCAAGGGCAAGTGCAGTGGTGGAGAGAGAGATGGGGCGAATGAGAGAGACAGGAAGGGAGGGAGAGAGGGGGGAGAGGGAGAGAGAGAGAGAGAAAGAAGAGAAGAGAGAGAGAGAGAGAAGAGAAAAAAGAGAAAGACAGAGGGTGGGAAGGAGGGAGGGAGGGAGGGACGGAGAGAGAGAGAGAGAAGAGAGAGAGAGAGAGAGAGAGAGAGAGAGAGAGAGAGAGAGAGAGAGAGAGAGAGAGATGTGAGCTAGAGCAGCAACAGAAGGGCTTTCATGAAGGAATCAGAATTTGCACTGTGCCTTAACAAGTAGATCAGCTTTAAGTCAGTGTAAGGAGGAACAGTATAAACATAAGTGCAGAGATGGGAAAGAACACTGAGGTAGTGAACACTGAAGCAGGGTAGGGGCAGCTAGGTGGCACAGTGCATAGAGCCCTGGATTCAGGAGGACCTGAGCTCAAATGTGGTCTCAGACACATAACTCTCACTAGCTGTGTGACCCTGGGCAAGTCACTTAACCTATATCTGCCTCAGTTTCCTTAACTGCAAAATGGGGATAGTAATTGCACCCATATCTCAAAGTTGTTGTGCAGATAATCTTTGTAAAAGTACTTAGCACAGTGTCTGGCACATAGGCAATTAATAATATTTTTTCCCTTTCCCTAAACAATGGAAAATAAGGTTGAATAGGTGGGGTGGCAGGTCTTCTCCAGACAATGGAAGTAAAGGAGCTGAGACTTGATAAAGAAGTTGCAATGAATGTATTATACATTATAGGCTTCTAAATTGGTTAGTGATGTCTTAACAAGTTTAGGGAGATTAATTTGAAGCAAGTGTTCAGGATAAAATGAAGAAGGAGAAATCAGGAGCAAAGGGATAGATTAGGAGGCTGTTGTAATAATCTAGAGATGAGATCATGAAAGCCTGCGTGCACTAAGGTGATGGCTGTGAAAGAGTAGAGGATGGAATCAAAGAGACAAATACAAAAAAAAAAAAAGATTGGATTTGGTCACAGATTGTATATAAAGGATGAAGGAGAGGGAGGCGTCAACGATGGCGGCAGAGTTTCCAGCCCGGAAACCTGTGAGAATGGCGGTCACAGCAACAAAAGTAAACTTATTTGGGAAGTCAGTGTAGGGGTGAGTATCGTGATTATAGTTTGAACAACCAGTAGAAGGATGGGATTACAGAATCTCAGGACTCTAAAGAGATTTCTGAGATTATCTAATACGTCATAGATGAAGAAATCAAGGGCCCCAGAGGCCCTTGACCTGTGTAAAAGGTCACACAGCTAGTTAGTGGCAGAGTTGGAACAAGTATCCAAGCCTTTCCACCTTTCTCAGATATATAGAGAACTGAGTCAAGTTTATAAGAATACAAGTCACTCCCCAATTGAGAAATGCTCTATGACTAGGCAGTTCTCAGATGAAGAAATCAAAACTATCTATAATCATATGAAAAAAATGCTCTAAATCACTATGGATTAGAGAAATGCAAATTAAAGTAACTCTGAGGTACCATCTCACACCTATCAAATTGACTAGTATGACAGAAAAGGAAAATAATAACTGTTGGAGGGGCTGCAGGAAAACTGGGACATTAATGCACTGTTGATGGAGTTGTGAACTGACTCAACCATTCTGGACAGCAAGGTGGAACTATGCCCTAAAGGACATAAAATCATCCATACTCTTTGATCCAGCAATAGTACTCCTAGAGCTATAGCCCAAAGAGACTTTTTAAAAAGGGAGGGTTGATGAGGGAAGGGCCTATATGTACAAAAATATTTGTCAGCTCTTTTTGTGGTGGCAAAAAATTGGAAATTGAAGGGATGCCCATCTACTGGGGAGTGGCTGTACAAGTTGTGGTATATGATTGTCATGGAATACATGAACTGATGCAAAGTGAGGTGAGCAGAACCAGGAGAACACTGTACACAGTAACAGCAATATTGTACAGTGAAAAATTAGCAATACAATATCTAAGACAATTCCAAAGGACTCGATTAAAAAATGCTATCCACTTCCAGAGATAGAACTGATGGAATCTAAATGCATACTTTTTTAACTTTATTTTTGTTTTTGTTTTTTTGGTCTATGTTTTCTTTCACGACTTGATTGATATGAGAAATACGTTTTGCATGACTGCACATGTGTGACCTATATCAAATTGCTTGCCTTCTCATTAGGGTTGGGAGGGGGAGGGAGGAAGGGAGATAATTTGGAACTCAAAATTTTTAAAAACAAATGTTAAAAAGTTTTACATGTAGTTGGAAAAAAGTAAATTAAAGAGAAACAACCAGGACTTTTAAATGGAATTGTCTTTTCCTAGCTGAAAATGTAGTTGGGAGGTCAAAGATAGAGACGCAGTTTTGCAAGTCATCATCACAGAGCTGAGTAGTTGCAGTTCTAGTGATGGGTACACTCCCAAAAGGAACATAGAAAGGGTCTCGGCCTATGACTAGGCACAGAAATTTGAGATATTACCAGGCAGAGAGTTGAAGGAGGAGGAGAGGGACTGACAAGGAGGATAGAAAGGAGACAGCTGGTAAAATTGGAGGAAAAGTGCAAAAGTAAAATTTCAGAACAGATGAAGGAAGTTATAAATCGAATGCAAACTTCCTTGAGAACAGGCACTGGACTTTTGTTTTCCTTTTGCCCTCAGGGCATGGCATAGTGCCTTGTACCTAGTAGCAACTTAATAAATGTTTTGCTGGACTGGACAGGAAATGTCCCAGAGAGATCAAAAAGAACCAAAAATGAGAAAAGACTATTGGATTTGGCGTGAAATCTTCTGGTGCCTTTTGAGAGAGCAGTTTCCTCACTTGAGTGATGAAATCAGAGCCAGAGTGGGTCAGAAGTTACAGGAGGAGCAGGGTGGCACCACCCTGAATTGAATTGTGGGGAATGAGTGAAAATGCAGCTTTTAAGGGAGGTTTGGATAGGAAAAGAGCAGGGGAGCTGGTATTGGGAATTTAGGAAGAACCCGATTTTATTTAGAACCAGGATATAGAGGGAAGAGAAGGTTATAACTTTGGGATAAGTGGGAAGAGGGCAGAATGGGGAAGAGGTTCCATAGAGCACAGTGCAAAAGGGGGTGTCAGAAGAAAGTAGAGGTGGGTTGAATTGGATGGGCAAGGGTGAAATGGATATGAGGTTTCCAGGGTAAGACATTCATGCTCAGAATGGATGAAAGATAATGAAAGCATTGGGGTGGGAGTCCTAGGATTGGAAGAGACCTAAGAGGCCATCTAATCCAAACACATGAGAGATTTGGACTAGGAGGTCTTGACCTCTCAACTGCATCTTGGACTAAGAACAGTCTTCTATTATTATTGAACATTTCACAAATGAGTATCTTGGTTTCTCAACCAACTTTCAATCTCTCTCTCTCTCTCTCTCTCTCTCTCTCTCTCTCTCTTCCCCCCCCCAAGGCAACCAGAGTATGCAACTTGCCCAGAGTCACACAGCTAGTAAGTGTCAAGTATCTGAGACCAGATTTGAACCCAGGTCCTCCTGACTCCAGGGCCAGTGCTCTATCCACTGCACCACCTAGCTGCCCCCTAACCAACTTCTAATAACTCTTTTTACTTTTCTGCTTCATAAGCTCAACTCTAGCTACTCACCTTCTTCCTCTTTCTGCCCTACATCTAACACACTCCCCTAATTCTGAAGGTGGCACAAATGAGATCGTGCAGAAGAGCATGGGCTTGATGTCCAGCTTGGTCACTTACCAACCTTAGGCAAATGATTTAACCTAGGCCTCAGCTCAGATCACTCAAATGAAATGTTAAATAACAAGAGAAAACTATATGGGAGCGAGTCTTCTCAGTTTATACTTCTGGACCTGAGTCAACAAGGGGCTGCTAGGGGGCATAGTGAATAGTAAGTTGGGCTTGGAATCAGGAAGACCTGTGTTCAAATCCTGCCTCAGAAATTGTGTGACCCTAGACAAGTCTCTGTCTGCCTCAGTTTCCTTAACTGTAAAATGAGAAGAATAATAATAGTCAAGGAACAAGGGGAAGGTAGTGTTTTAAAGCTTCCTGTGTTTCAGCACCCTGCTTGGAACCAGAACCGTGCCAGTACTTTGGTGACCCCCTCAATGGACTCTGAGCTTTGCAGGCACCAATCTTTCAACATGAATAGGAATACTGAGCACCAGATGATTAAGACCCCCTATTGGAGAGAGAACCAGTACCCAACTGAAGATATGGTAACAACCCAAAGGAGGATTCTCAAAATTGGGGCAAACTAACTGGAAAGGGTGGAGTAAGGAAGGATAATGAAGAAAGGACTCTAGCTTACCTGGGATCTTTTCCTGCTTTCCTGGGATGGCAAGAGGGGTTTAGGCTGGGAAGGCATGGAAAGGCATTGATTGGCCTTAGGTTGAACTAGGGCTGGCTGGGGAGCCAAACTGGAAGTTTCCAAGACTGGGAAGATCCTGGAGACAAAGGGCAGGGCTGGGACGAACTAGCTGTTCAAAATCAAGGGTTCTCATCTATTGGGCTTGTCCCTGGGTACAGGAGATCCTGATGCATGTCAAGGATGATATCATCACATTTGTGGGAAAGGTGAAAGAAAAAGTCAACAAGGAAAAAGAGTCAAAGGGTGAGCACTGAGGTCTTGGATGGTGGGGGCACTTAGGAATGGTGATTATCACTGGAAATTATGGAACACTTTAAGATATGTGAAGCTCCTTGCATGCATGATTTTATTTGTTTCTAACAATAAGTAGGCACAGAAGTGTGGACTGAATGTAAGGGTTTAGAGGTGAGAAATGTACACTCAGAAATGGGGAAAGGGGTGTCTGGGAACTGGTCTGTGTGATCTATCACTTATTATCTCTCCACTCACAGTATGGCTCCCAGCCCCCCAGTACATAGACTACTTCCAGAAGATCAAGTATGCCTTCAACCTCTTGGTATGTCAGCCCCTGGGGGGAAGAGTCCTGGAGGCCACCTTCTCCTCCAGGCTCCTCCCTTCCAAACCCAACTCCTTCTCAACCTCCACCTCCATTATGAATCCTAACCCTCCTCCTTCCAGATCCAACTCCATCTCAACCTCCACCTCCATTACAAGTCCTAACCCTCTTTCCAAAATTAACTTCTACCTCTTAGCCCTTTCCACTCCAAAGTCATCCAGAGTACCCCCTCTCTGTTGGCTGGGTTTTCAGTGAGTTAGCCATTCACAAATACAGAATGGTGCTCAAGCTACTCCATTCCCTCTCTGGAGTATTTACCTATAGGTGGAAGGGGAGAAAAATACCCTTTTGTGTCCCCAGGGGAAGATAAGCAGCTGCCTGGAAGAGTCAATTGTCCGAGAATTAGTCTTCAACCTCTTTCAGTCTCTGGAATATGTGAGTAGGAAGGTGGGGGGGGGCAAGCAGTGGGCAGTGAGTGTGATAGAAGGAGGCAGGAGAAGGACTGAAGTCCAAGAAAAGAGGAAAGAAGACTAATTTGAACAAATCTAAGCAGTTGGGGCTAGAAGATGATGAGCAAGCGTAGAAGATGGAGGTCAAGGACAGAGACAATACTATCCCTCTCCATGCTCTCCTGCTTCTTGCCTGCACACCTTGAGCTTTCCAGGACAATATTGATTTTGAGAAAAGAAACTGTCATTTAAGGAATCTTTGCAAAGGGAGTATCCTTTGTCACGCCAATTCTTGGTTTGGGGGAAAAAACATATGATCCACACTGCTGGACAGAGTTACAGAACCAAGCCATCATCTTTGATCCTAAGAACCCCTAAGGGTGAGAGAGGACTTTGATAAGGTGAACAGGATTCATGGGTAGACCCAGGAAGAAAGTGGTCACAGGCTGGTAGAAAATGGAGAGCAAGAACCTCTCAACATGCTTACACATAGGAGAACCTTGCATTTATATAGTGCCTTACTTACAATGACCTTATGAGGCAGTTGTAGAAAGAGTGACCTCCTCATCTTACAAAGGAGGAAACGGACTCGGACCTATGGAAGGCAGACCTCACGCTTGTGCCCACTTGACCCAAAAGCATGCTAACTCCCCATCTGTATGCAAGCACAGGCCTTTGAAACAGGGACAAGCTCGATGAAATCTAATTTGGGGGATATGGGGGGAGGTGGTATTTCTAATGCTTTCTCCCACACCTTCTTCCACCCCCTAGGTCATTTATTATTGCCCTAACTACAAAACCCTACCAAGACTGGTAAACTGTCCTCTGCTGACAGACAAGGCCATAAAACTGATGAATACGAATCTGGAAGAAAACCACATTAATTATTGGAAGGAACTTGGAACTGCTTGGACTGCAACACGGTGAGATCCAGGCCCAGTCGTTCTATTCTGACCACAACGCTGCAGAATTTTCGACCTGGACAGAACTTTAGGCATAATTTAGGCCACCTCCTTACCCCGAGTCCTATTTTTCAGATTAAGAAACACAGGTCCACAGAAATGAAATTATACTTCTAATTAGTGGCAGCCAGTTCTCCTGACTCTTTCTCCCATAATGCACTCACTATATTGCTACTCTCAAATTCCTCCCTGGGGAACTTACATAGGAACCTAAATCTTATCTTGCTAGAATCATAGAATCTCACAGCTGAAAAGAGATCCTGGGCATTAGCTAGCACCACTTTCTCTCACCCCACCCTACCCGCTCCCACCCTCTCCAAGGGCAGAAAAGCACCAACTTTTTCTCAAAGAATTAGGTACAAAGTGAGACTTAAGATAATTTTTGCCACATTATTTTCTGCTGGGTATGTGGAGGAGGCATGTAGAAATATCCATCTTCACAATATCTTATCTCAGAAACAAGGATGAAAATGTTGCCATCTTTCTCTTGTAGAAACTGGGAGTAATACATAATCGGACACAGGAATGAGGGCATTTAGAAATGAATAGATTGGATAGAATACGGGCCCTGGTGTCAGGAGGACCTGAGTTTAAATGACACTTACTAGCTGTGTGACTCTAGGCAAGTCAATTATCCCCGATTTTCTCCAAAAATAAAAAAGAAATGCATTGATTATAGGCAAATATTGCCTTAGAAATAAACATCTTTGTTTATGTGGAATTACAGATTTGGAGTTGAAAGGAACATCATAGATGATCTAGGGGTTCTTAAGTCTAGAGTCTGTGAATTTGGGTTTGGGTTTTTTTCATATTTTGACAATTTTTCAATATCATTGGTTTCCTTTATAATCTTATATATTTTATTTTGTGCGTTTAAAGACATTCTTCTGAGAAGGGGTCCATAGGTTTTGCCAGACTGCCATCAGAGGCCAGGACACACAAAAAAGTAGAGAACTCTTGATCTAGACTGAGTCCTTCATTTTATAGAGGAGGAAACCAAAGTCCAGAGACTTTCAGCAGCTAGCCCATGGTCATACAGGCAGCAAATGCAGGGGATGAGACTCAGACTTGGATCCACTCACTCCAAATCAGAATTCTTTCCCCTGTACTCCATCATCTCTCCCTATTTGTTGATTCTCCCCTGGTGCTTTGTTGTGCATCTTCAACGCATTTCTCTGTTCTGGGGGTTGGGGGGGGAGTGTTCTGGGTCCCCCATTAAATAGGGAACCGACATCTTCCCAAGGACTCTCTAGTGTGAGGCCAGTTTAGTAGCATGATTACTAAGATCAGCCTCTTTCTGCAGGGATTCTTGGCCAAAAGACGAACTGGTACCTCCAGCCTATATACCCACTTTTTATGATGGCTGGCAGCTCCCCGAAGTCACCCATCTTGAGTCAGTCAAGGTAAGCAAGAGTTCAGCATTACAGGGGGTTAGGGTGGGGCAGGGAGGAAGCCCCTCATGCCTGGAGAAAGGAATAGGAGCACAAGGACAGGACCTTACATAAGGTCCTTCTTACCCAAGGCCTCAGCACAGGTTCTCCAGATTTCTGTCACATACAAATGCTGACCAGATTTCTACTCTCCTGGGTCAAACCCTCTGGCTACTACATATTAACCTTTGTGTTTGTATGTATGTATGAGTCTGGTTCTGTCTGCTTATTTCTCTATCTGCTTATTGGTGGAGAGAAAAGAGGCTGAATACCAGGGAAGGAGGATATAGATGGCTTTGTGAACAAGCCTGTGCTTTGGGTCACAAGGGTCCACCACCTAGCCACAACCCAGGCCTGCTCCCCTGGTCCCATTTACATCCATTACAGGCCCACAACTCAACCTCCCTCTAGGAAACTATCTCCTCAAGAATTCGGGACAGGGGGGACAGGTCTTTCATTGGCCTGGAGAAAATGGTATTGGACTAGTCACTTGGAGCCTGAATCCCTAAAGCACTGGGAGTCACTGTGGTTGTAGAGCAAAGCATTGGTTTTAGAATCAGAAAACTTGGGTTCAAATCCTAGTTCTTCCACTTCCTAGTTATAACATCTCTGTACCTCAGTTTCCTTCATTTGTAAAATGATAGTGTTGGACTCAAATGACCACTCAGGTGCTTTCTAGCTAGAATCTAGAATCCTGTGACTGCTCTCCCTCCCTCCCCCATCTCTCCCTCTCTCCCACCTATCTTCTTTCTCACTTTCTTCCTCTCTGGCCCCGGCCCTCCCTTCCTACATCTCTCCTTCCTTGAATGAGGCACCATTGTGCACCAAGGACAATAAGTAACATGCTCCTGGGAGAGAAGCAGATGGTGTTCTCAGAGCTGGAACAAGCTGTCTCTTGCCACATACATCCTGACCCTCAGCTGTTGCCCCTTGCCCCCACAATCTAGCAACTGAGACATGAAGAGCCTCATCTGCCTGCCCTGCTGAGCTATTGGCAAGGGGGAAGAAGCCAGGTTCCCAGCTGTAGGACAGGCACAAAGGTTTCTGAAATTTTAAAATCAGAGGGACTTTGGAAATCATCAATAACTCAGGCCTCCAACATTAAGGGCCTCCAACCCTTAGACTTCTCTCTGTCCTTTTCCTGAGTCCCATCATTATACATGGGGGTGGAGGGGAGGAATGAGGCAGAGGGTAGAGGCCTCCCTCCCCCCCACCCCGAGTCCCTCAGGTGCTGAGAAGACTGAAGCAGGGACACCAGAACTCTGAGGCCCTATTCTCCTGCCTCCACTGACCTTGGGGAGAGACTGTCCCAGGCTAGGGAGCCCCATGCACTTGGCCATCAGGTAGAGATACACACCCCTCTCCCACCTATTACCTTGGCCCTTCACTTGGAAGCCCAAGAGCTCTTCCTGACTTTCTCACACCTGTACCCTTCAGGCCCAGGCCCTTCTAAATGTTCCCACAAACATGAGTCCTGTTTAAGTTTCATAGTAGCCATGAACTGTACTGAAAATGGCACAAGGTTGGGTGCTAGAGGTCAGCTACTCATCGTGGATAATTGGCTAACCCAGACCCCTGTGTAAACTCCCAGTCCATCCCAATCCCCACCAATCCAGCAAGACAAGATCCTCAGGAAAACAGTGAGCCAGCCCTTGGGGGACAGGACCTAGGTCTATTGCTATGAGAGTGTGCATACAGGAGTGTGGTTATGTGTGCCCCCCATGCCAGTGTAAGATTGTTCTCCTGTGGGGGTCAGCCGCAACCATAAGCCCCTGGGGATCTTCGGTGGGAAGGGGGAATTGGTGGCACAGGCTCTGAGAGTAACACTGGATACAAGTGTGTAACATCAGGTGCACATACACACACTCACAAACACACCCCAAACCACCCATAGAAGTATCACCATGAGGGCTCCTTCTTCACATTCCCTTTCCTTTCCAGACAGATGCTAAGGACCAAGTGGAGCAGCGGATTGGAGGGCCTCAGTCATCCCACCTCCTTTTCCCACGTGTGTATGTCCATTCTTCTCCTCCAGAATCTACCCCCCACATTTTGTACTTTGTCCCAGAGAAGAAAGGCGAGGTTACAAAACCTCTAGGATTTCAGAGTCAGAAGAGACCTCAGGGGCTTTGTAATCCAGCCTATGCCTAAAGAAGAATGCCTTCGATGACGTGCCCCACCCGCTGGTCCTCCGGCTGTGAGGGGGGGCCCACTGCCTCTCCAGGCGGCTCCCTCTGTTTTTTGTGAGGAAGCTCTTCCTGACATCAGCCTAAATCTGCTTCTTTGCAACTTAGACCTCTTGTTCCTCGTTCTGCTCTGTAGGGCCAAACCATACCTTCCTTTCCTGTGTACACCTTCCCATCCCCTTTGACTCATCACGCCATGAAATCAAATGGAGCACCTTCACCATTCTGGTTAAGGTGAGAGATGACAGTCTTCATTCTTGCCTCTTACTAAAGCCCAGAGCCATTTCTCAATCCTACATATTTATCTTTTCTTCTCACCTGTGTCCAACTCCCAAATCCTGAGCCTTTGTTGGGCTTCTTCCCTGACCTCACTTATCCCAATAAACCAATGTTCCTAATCAACTCAACTGGGTCTGGACCTTTCCTTTTCAGCAGCCCCAAGGACACCAAAGAGGCAAATTCCCTGCCCCTTTCAGGCCAATGGCAGTGTACTTTTAAGATTTGTGTAAGAATTCCCTTTACAGTCTGGATCTAAGAGTGGCGGGTCAGAACCGGGAATCTGCAGTCCTTACAGTCCTTACACTGGATTCTAAAATAATCCCAGATCAAGAATATGCCACCAAGAAGCCTGCAGAGATACCCCTGATCCTGGTCCCACGGAACAGGGAGAGATTTTAGGATAAAGTAGTTCATCTCTCCCATTTTGCAGATGAGAAAAGTCAGAATTAAGGAGCTTAAGTGACTCATTTAAGTGACCCAAGGCAAAATACTGACCAGTCCAACTTCCTGACAGGATCTAATAAGTCTATTCAATCTGAAATAAGACTTTTTTTTTTCCATTCACTCTTTTTTGAAAGTAGGTTGTCAACCTTCAGAGTTCAGTCTAAGAAAGACAAACAGGATTAGGTTCTATCAGTGTTTACTTCTCTCAAAGCCAGCAGCATGAGAGCGCCCATGCATGGGGGCCAGGTTGGAATTGAGCTCCCTTTGGGGTCAGGGTGCACAGTTTATATACCCTTTCAATGGGGACTGAAGTCATTCCATTATCATTTCACCTTTAGATAGAGGAAATACTTCTTTTATCAGATCGCCCCCCTGGATTTGAGCTATCTAGAGGAGAGAATCTGTCTCCAGCCAAGGATGAGTAAAAGACAATGGGTTTTCCTACCTTAGACTAAATTACTTGCAAGCTTGGGTGGGGGCTGACCAAGATAAGGACAGTCAATGCAATCTCATTATCAGTAATGTCCTTCTGAAGAAAAACTGAACTTAAAAGTGAAGATTTTGGAAGAAGGGGGCTGGGGGAAGCTCTGAATCTCTAAGATATTGGTTATTAATAATCATTTTTCATAAGGTCAATGTTTTCCTCCTCTCCCTCAAAAAAAAAATAAAGTAGGAGTATAGCCAGAAACGAGTATGATATTAAAAACAAAGAGCATCAATAATGTTTTTTAAAAGCAAATCAACAACCTTGGCCCCAGTCACATCTCCCTCCTATTGGTAGAGGAGGGAAGAACCCCAGGTACAGACTGTCAGATACTCAGTCCGATTCAGTCACTATTTTGCTAAACTGATCTTTGTTACAAGGAAGGACTCAACAGAGTAGAAGTGGGGAATGATATTTTAAAATGATCGTGATTTAAAAACAGAAGGCATCAATAAAAGGAAGAAAGCCAACAAGATCATGAATTTAAATCTGGAAAGGAAGTTAGGTGGGATCAACTAACCCAAGCACCCCTTTTGGGGGGGAGGATCCTGGGGCCCAGAGAGGTTAAGCAACCTGCCCACGGTCACATGGCCAGTGAATGGCAGATCCAGAATGCAAATCCAGCCCTCTGATTCCAAATTCCCATGCACCCCACAAAGCCCAAGGCGGGACTAACGATGTTGATAAAACAGTAGAATTTGAGATGCAACACAGCCGAAGCTAAGGACCTAAGTAAGACCAGTCTTTAAAAACATGGCTAGACAATCAGAAGATCACAGCTTACATAAAACTGTCAAACCTCAGAAACACAAAGAACAGCCACCAGAAACTTATTGTCTTTTCTCAATCTAAGAAACAGCCCTAACAGGCTGTTGGAAATAAAAAAAAAAAAAAGGATATGGGCAAGGAATGGGGAAGGAAGATGATGATACAGGCTTCTAGCTGCTTGAATAAGTTTTAAAGGAGCCACGAGTCACGTGTGCAGCTGGGACTTTGGCATTTAGCTCCTCAATATTTTCACCACACTCTCTCTCTCTCCCCTCTTTGTTTTAAGTAAAATTAAAGTCTTCCTTTCTGAATGACAGACTCCTGCTCCTACTCCCCAAACCTCAGTGGGACAGAAAGAGAGATGATTGCTTTCTGTTCCTCTCTTTCTGATTCTGAGGCAACTAAGAAACATATCAGATATACTGCCTGAATTGAACTCAGAAAGTCCTGAGTTCAAATTCTGCCTCAGAGACTTTATTAACCATGTAACCCCTGGTCAAGTCACAGCCTCAGACTCAGTTTCCTCATGCGTAAAAGGAATTTGATAACATAGCACCTATCTCACAGGATTCTCATGAGCATCAAATGAAGGAAGCATGTACAAACCTTCAAATGATATATAATACATAGATATGTGCATGTGTGTGTATATGTGGGGGTGGGGTGTGTATGCGTGTGCATACATGTACAAACTACATATGTTGGTATGTGTGTATTATATATACATATATATTGTTGTTGTTGTTCAGTTGCTTTCAGTCATGTCTGACTCTTCGTGACCTCATTTGGGGATTTCTTGGCAAAGATACTGGAGTGGTTTGCCATTTCCTCCTCCAGCTCATTTTACAGATGAGGAAACCAAGGCAAAGAGGGTTAAGTGACTTGTGTATATGTATAGATGTGTGCATATGCATATATATATATATATACATACATATGTGTGCATATATACATATATACACTGATAATCATTCAAGATCATTTGAGCCCCAATAAGGACCAAAACCTGAAGTAATCAGCTAGAAGAAGCACCCTGGCCTAACAGACATGCTTTGCATGCTCTGGCACAACAGACATGCTTTGTTTTGCTCTCTGAGTGAACTCAAAATGCCCCTTCTTGTGTCAGCAACTACAGGGCCAGATGAAGCTGACCAGGAACATTCTTCTGTTTGTAATTGTCAAGGACAAGATGCTTTGAACCGGACATCTTAAATAATGGGACTTTCCTTATCTTGGACACATGGTATGGTATGGTATGGTATGGTATGGTATGGTATGGTATGGTATGGTATGGTATGGTATGGTATGGTATGGTATGGTATGGTATGTCATGTTAATGATAGAAGAAACACAGACATCCTGAATCTATAATTTCAATTGACACTTTGACACTTATCTTATTGCTTATAATCTATCTTATTCAAAGATTCCTTTCTCATATTATGGTTAACACATTTGGAGACTGTAATTTTCGTTGACACAGGCACCTTGAGTTGAGATTGCTCTAAGTGTCTGAAGAGTCTCCTTCATCTTGTTTACCTCTGAGTTCAGAATTATTTTCTGACTCCCATGCTTGCACATTCTCTGGCTCAGTGAGAATAAATAAGCTCGTACAAACACATATACAGCCTGATTCTGTTTGTTCCTTGATCAGACTTTTGTTTAAGGTAAACCTCATTCTGTTTGTTTATTGAGCAAGCCTTTGGTAAAGGAGGAAACTGATTCTGTTTGTTACTTTGGACCAAACTTTTGGTAAATGGTTGACAACATATATATGCTAGTATTGCTATTCAGTCTTTCCAACCTATCTTGGGGGCTCTAATCCCAGCCATGGTTTCCCAAGTGCCACATGTTTTGGTCTGCCATCTTGCCTCTAAACTGAAGTCCTCATGCTTGCCCATAATGTCTTGTCCCACAATCATCTTCAAGTAGGGGTCTGCTGGTAAATGTTTAACAATCAGCTTTCTGAAAAGCATACACACTGAAATTTAATACGCACTATTAACATTTTCTCCATCACTTTCTTAAGTCTAGACAATGAACGAAACAGTAAATCAAGCCCTGATTTTTAGTGTTTGCCAATTTCTGAGGTGTAAATGCTCATACTGAAAATTTAACAACTATTCTCAGGAGCTTATACAAGCTGGCTCCAGCACACCCCTGCCAGGGTTCCAGTGGGTTTTTTTTCTATTTCTAAAACAAATATAGCCAAGATCAGAAGGAAAGCAGTAAATTTTGGGAGGGAAATGTATAGAGTTTCTCAGATAGAGGTCTCATCTCAAATATATACAGAACTCTGTAAAATCTATAAGAATGCAAGTCATCCCCCAACTGATAAATGGTCAAAGGATATGAACAGGCAGTTTTTACATAAAGAAATCAAAACAATTTATAGTCATATGAAAAAAATGCTCTAAATCATTATTGATTAGAGAAATGCAAATTAAAACAACCTTGAGATATCATTTTACACCTATCAGATTGGCTAAAATGATTGAAGGGGGAAAACAACAAATGTTGCAAGTAATGTGGAAAAATTGGGACACTAATTCATTGTTGGTAGAATTGTGAACTGATCCAACCATTTTGGAGAACAATCTGGAATTATACTCCAAGAGTTATTTAACTGCCTATACTCTCTGACCCAGTAATATCTCTACTAGGTCTGTTTCCCAAGATGATTAGGGAAAAAGGGAAAGAACCCATATGTTCTAAAATATTTCTAGCAGCTCTCTTTGTAATGGCAAAGAAATGGAAATTGCAGCAATGCTGATCAGTTGGGGAACAGCTGAACAAGCTGTGGTATATGATTGTGATGGAATATTACTGTAGGGGCTGCTAGGTGGCACAGTGGATAGAGCACCAGCCCTGGATTTAGGAGGACCTGAGTTCAAATCCAGCCTTAGACACATAACACTTACTAGCTGTGTGACCCTGGACAAGTCACTTAACCCCATTGCCCAGCCAAAAAAAAAAGAAGAAGAATATTACTATGCTATAAGAAATTATGAGCTCAGTGATCTTAAAAAAGCATGGATAGACTTGCACAAAATAACAGAGTGAAATAAACAGAAACAAGAGAATGCTGCATGCAATAACAGCAGCATTGTTTTAAGAACAACTTTGAGCAACTAAGTAATTTTTACTATTATTAATATTCAAATTAATTACAAAGGACCTATAAAGGAAGATGCTACCTGCATGCAGAGAAAGAATTAATAAATAGAAGTATGTATAGAATGATTTTTACATATATATTTGTGTGTAATGGTACCCATCTCTGGGGCTGAGGAAAGGGGAGAAAAGGAAAAAACAGAAATGTACATAACTTTATTACATATTTAAAAGAAATAGCAAGTTGTACATAATGATTGCACATGCAATCATCTTTTTTTTT